TTACAGCCAGCTGTCAGTTGTCTTGTGGGTGTGGGGAACTGAACTTGGGTCTTCTGGAAGAGCAGCCAGTGCTCTTAACCATCTCTCCAAGCCCATTTCTGGAGACTTTTGACCTCGTTACTGCCCTCTAGTTTGTGATACGTGTGGGGGTCAGAGGTCAGTCTCAGTGTTATTTCTTAGGAGCCATCTGCTTGAGTTAATTGGTGTGTGTGTGTGTGTGTGTGTGGGTGGGTGGGTGGGTGGGTGTGGGTGTGTGCGCGCACGCACGCGAGCGCGCGCGCGTGCGCGAGTGCTCACATGGGCATGCACTTGTGCATGTGAGTGAGCCATGGCTTGTTTGTGGTGGTCAGAAGGCAGTTTGGCAAGAACCATGTCTTACCTTCTACCACATGGGTCCCAATGATTGAACAGATCATCAGCTTCGACGATAAGTACGTCTCTCTGCCTACTGAGTTGTCTTGCGGGTCCAGTGTTGGTTTTTCAGGTCTACAAATGCCTTGTGCGCGCACGCACGCGAGCGCGCGCGCGTGCGCGAGTGCTCACATGGGCATGCACTTGTGCATGTGAGTGAGCCATGGCTTGTTTGTGGTGGTCAGAAGGCAGTTTGGCAAGAACCATGTCTTACCTTCTACCACATGGGTCCCAATGATTGAACAGATCATCAGCTTCGACGATAAGTACGTCTCTCTGCCTACTGAGTTGTCTTGCGGGTCCAGTGTTGGTTTTTCAGGTCTACAAATGCCTAGCTTTGGATGGAGTGTTGGGGATAGAATTCAGGTCTTCACGTCTGTATGGCAGTCGCTCTACCCACGGAGCCAGTCATCTCCCAGCCCAACATCTAGTTCTAAAGCAATGCTTGTGTGTTGCTTTATGCCAGCCACCATCCCAGGCTGCTTCTGAGCACACCCACGCCCAGAATGAGAATGGGGATGGCACACACACCCCTAATTCTGGCATTTGGGAGGCAGAGGTAGAAAGACTTTTAGTTCAGGCCAGTATGTGCTACAGGATGAGGCCTTAACTCAACAAACTGGGGGCTGGTGTATAGTTCAGTGGGAAGGTGCTTGCCTAGTGTGAGCAAAGGCCCTGGGCCCATACTCAGCTCTGCAGATAAACACAATCCAGATGAGGCCTGGACTTGAGAGTCCTTCTGAATGGACACTGCAGGCTCACCCAAGGCCATGGAAATGGCAAGAAAATGCAATTTTGAAATATCAGAAAGCTGATGGGAAAAGCTATGGATGGTGGAAGGGTTTGCCGGGGCTAGGGATAGAGAAACAGCTGCCAGAGTCAGAGTCCTGGGCAGTGCAAGCACTCCCAGAAATGCTGACACAGGAATATTGGGGTATCTTCAAGAACAAGACGCTCTCTCAGCTTGGGGGGGGGGCGTGTCTAGGGTCTTGGAAAATGCAATGGCCATGAAAGTGGCCCTGAGTCTATGACTTCAGGTTCTTGTCTCAAAACTTCAAAGATTGAAATTCACAGAGCATTGGTTTTGGGGGAGAGATTTGTCATATATTCCCAGGTGGGAGCCATGCTGTTTATGTTAGGCATGGAGGTCAGCCAGCCCTGAGTGGACAAGCAGCCACATGGTGATATCAGCTTCAGAAGAGTGGAGAAGCCCAGAGTACACAGAGAAGGCTAGCTGGGCTCTGGCTGGGGCACCAGAGAAGGCGAGCTGGGCTCTGGCTGGGGCACCAGAGAGGGCGAGCTGGGCTCTGGCCAGCACCAAAGAGAGGCAAAAGAGAAGGAAAAGTGCTGGGTCCTGACTCAGGCCCAACAGAACCTTACTGCTGGCAGGGCTGTGCTGGGGACGGGGATTCTGGGAAGGAAGAGCATTCCTCTCATTAAAGGGCCATTTATCCTCCATCTCTGCAGCAGGCTTGAGCTGGCCCCCTCTCTGGGGTGGCCCCTTGGCCAGGTGATTGGCAGGCCCACAGGATTAACTCTGGCATCCCAGGCAAAGCCCATTCTGTGCTGGGACAGTACTGGAGGGGATGAGTGTGTGTCAACAGATGTTTGTCCTCAGCCATAGAGCAGCACCTGGCGTGGGCCTGCTGTTGACCACCAGCTCTGGGGACAGGATGGGGTGGGCAAGTGGGGTTCTGACTGCTCAGGAGGAACTCCTGCTGGTGGAGGCTACTGGGGGCGGGGCCTCTGAGCCTCCCTGTCCACTTTGCTGTGATCCTTAAACTGGTATGTGTACGTGTATATGTATATATGTATGTGGGTGTGTACACAAATTACATGTATGTGTACATGTGTATGATGCATATATGTGTTAGACATGTATTTTGCATGTATGTATTATGTATAACTTTGTGTGTGTATGTGTATATACATATGTGTATATGTCCGCGTATGTACATGTATGCCTGTGTGTATATGTATGTCTATTTGTATATGTGTATGAATGTGACTATGTGTCTGTGCATGTGTGCATGTGTATGCATGTGTTTGTATGTGTGTGTATGTCTGTGCGAATATGCTTGTATATGTGTACATGTATATGTGTGCATAGGTCTGTGCATGTGTTTGTATGTGTGTGTATGTCTGTGCGAATATGCTTGTATATGTGTACATGTATATGTGTGCATATGTCTGTGCATGTGTATGTATGTCTATGTGTATACATGTGCGTGTGTGTATGTATATATGTGTGTATGCACGCATGTGTTGCATGTGTCTGTGTGTATATATGTGTGTGTGCATGTGTGTGTCTGTGCATGTGTATGTGTGTGTCTGTGTGTATATATGTGTGTGTGCATGTGTGTGTCTGTGCATGTGTATGTGTGTGTCTGTGTGTATATATGTGTGTGTGCATGTGTGTGTCTGTGCATGTGTATGTGTGTGTCTGTGTGTATATATGTGTGTGTGCATGTGTGTGTCTGTGCATGTGTATGTGTGTGTCTGTGTGTATATATGTGTGTGTGCATGTGTGTGTCTGTGCATGTGTACGTGTGTGTCTGTGTGTATATATGTGTGTGTGCATGTGTGTGTCTGTGCATGTGTACGTGTGTGTCTGTGTGTATATATGTGTGTGTGCATGTGTGTGTCTGTGCATGTGTACGTGTGTGTCTGTGTGTATATATGTGTGTGTGCATGTGTGTGTCTGTGCATGTGTACGTGTGTGTCTGTGTGTATATATGTGTGTGTGCATGTGTGTGTCTGTGCATGTGTACGTGTGTGTCTGTGTGTATATATGTGTGTGTGCATGTGTGTGTCTGTGCATGTGTACGTGTGTGTCTGTGTGTATATATGTGTGTGTGCATGTGTGTGTCTGTGCATGTGTACGTGTGTGTCTGTGTGTATATATGTGTGTGTGCATGTGTGTGTCTGTGCATGTGTACGTGTGTGTCTGTGTGTATATATGTGTGTGTGCATGTGTGTGTCTGTGCATGTGTACGTGTGTGTCTGTGTGTATATATGTGTGTGTGCATGTGTGTGTCTGTGCATGTGTACGTGTGTGTCTGTGTGTATATATGTGTGTGTGCATGTGTGTGTCTGTGCATGTGTACGTGTGTGTCTGTGTGTATATATGTGTGTGTGCATGTGTGTGTCTGTGCATGTGTACGTGTGTGTCTGTGTGTATATGTGTGTGGGGGCATGAGCCAGTCGGGGCATGGGTGGGGGGGGGCG